AGTGAATCGAGATTCACTTAAGTGAATCTACATTAACTACAGTGAATCAAGATTCAACCAAATGTATTGAGATTTATCAAAGTGAATCCAAATTCAACAAATTGTATCGAGCTTCAGCAAATTGAATCCAGATTCTATGATATGAAACCAACTCCATGACATACCATACATTCTTTCAGTGTCTCGTCACTCAACACAACAAGGAAAAACTGATCATCGTTACAGTTTAATTTCACTGTTAGTATACATAAACCATATAATTAGTGAATCGAGATTCTCTATGTTTGAGTGAATACAAATTGACTCCACTAAGTAGCTATTCACTTTAGTGAATAGAGATACATCCAATGAATCGCGATTCACTCTAGTGAATCTCGATTCAATACAGTGAATCGAGATTCACTGTATTGAACGAGATTCACTAGAGTGAATCGCGATTCATTGGATGTATCTCTATTCGAGTGAATCGAGATTCACTGCATTGAATCGAGATTCAGTACATTTAATCTCGATTCACTAGAGTGAATCGCGATTCATTGGATGTATCTCTATTCACTAAAGTGAATAGCTACTTAGTGGAGTCAATTTGTATTCACTCAAACATAGAGAATCTCGATTCACTAATTATATGGTTTAATTTCACTGTTAATATACATAAACCATATATGGTTTAATTAGTGAATCGAGATTCAGTACATTTAATCTCGATTCACTAGAGTGAATCGCGATTCATTGGATGTATCTCTATTCACTAAAGTGAATAGCTACTTAGTGGAGTCAATTTGTATTCACTCAAACATAGAGAATCTCGATTCACTCAAGTGAATCTCGATTCAATGTAGTGAATCTCTATTCACTCAAGTGAATCGAGATTCACCGCAGTGAATCTCGTTTCACTCAAGTGAATTGAGGAGATTAAAGTAGAGTGCATATTGTAGAATCCAAACAACCATAATTAATCGTTACCCATTTAGAACAAATGAAAACATCTTGCAATATTAAGAAAAACTTAGTTTGTTTTTAACCAGATAAAGGCAAATGTAAAAAAATAAAACCCTAAACTAGAACATGCATCGGTAACATATTATGGGAAAGCTAAAAAAATAAAATAAAAAAGTATTCAACAACATGCAAGTGATTCATGTCTAAATTACGAACCTTTCCCCACTGAATCGCTGAAAAATTTTCAAAGTTTGATAAAAAAAATTACAGTTGTAATACGAGGGTTTGAATCTTTTTACCCGTTCTTGAAGACGAGGGTTTTGGAGTCTCTGTGTTGTTTTTCTTCATCTCCATAGTCGAAGTGTTGCTGGTCGCCTTCGTTCGATTTGTAATTAGATGATGAAAGTAACCTAAGTTTTGAGAAATCGACGGAATGTGAATAGTTTAGTTCTTGGGGTAAAGAGGAGATGAAACTGTATTCAAAATGTAGTTAAACTGAAACGTTTTTTCTTCGATAAAAGTGTACGCCAACTTCTTGTAATTAATTACAGCGTGAAAAATTGAAATTGCTTTTTCTAAATTACCCCTTTTATTGGTATTTTGTCAGCTGATGTTCAATTAATTTCAATTCTGCCATTTTCAATCTTGACCATTGGATGAAATAGAATGTAGGGCTAGGATTGGTTTTTAGTTCTCTAGGTTTTTATTAGAACCTCTCCC